CATCCTACAGCAGTTTTCTTTGCAATTTTGAAAGCTTCATCCGGCTATAACCTTAGGTTTTCAATCTCTCCTAGGACATAATTTCATGTAATGCATCCTGATCTCTGTTGTTCTAATATCAAATGGCATGCCTAAAGAGGTGAGAAAAACTTATAAATTATTCATCTTCCTTAATTTATTAACCAAAATATTTCTAATGAGTTGCTGACAAGAATCCTTTTTGAAGGTCATAATTTCCTTTCATTTTTTGTTTGATTCTTATTGATAAGGAAGAAATGCAACCTGAAGAGAAAGCAGAAACATTACAAATGACTCCAAAGATACTTGTGAGATGTAGAATGAGCACTGATTTTTTCTTTCTATTCAGACTGCTTGAAAAAAAATACAACTGTTTGCTTTTCCTTTCCCAGATCTCAATAAAATCATGGGAAACAGAGATAAAAAAATAGATCCAGTGTAGTACCAATTATCATTGGGATCAGGTATGGGTTGTTTGCTATTGCCAGATCAGAAGAAGAAGAACCTGATAGAAAATATAAAGCTATGGAAAGAGCTGGGCATGGTGGCGCACTCCTGTAATCCCAGCACTCAGGAGGCTGAGGCAGGAGAATCACTGTGAGTTCGAGACCAGCCTGGGCTGCATAGTGAGTTTGAGGTCAACTACATAGTGAGACCCTGTCTCAAAAAACCAAAAAAAAAATAAATAAAAGTAAAAAAATAAATAAAATAAAGCTATGGAAAGAGATAAATGGTAAAATATAAAAGAGTAGCTTTTGTGTGTGTGTGTGTGTGTGTGTGTGTGTGTGTGTGTGTGTGTGTGTGTGTGAGTGTGTGTGTACCAAGGATTGAACTCAGGACCTTGCGCTTGTGAGGCAGGCCGCGGAACCACTGAGCTAAATCCCCAGTCCCCATTTCATATCTTTTTTAAAGGGTGTTTCTTTTAGAACAGCTGGTCAATCCTGATTGGATATAGTTAAGGCCAGAAGGTACAGGTTGAATGCTCTGAGTAAGGGAATTCAATCAGGGATTGTATCTGACATATGAGATAGAACCAGGAAGTGTGGTCTGCGAAGTGGACAATTTTATACTCTCCATGCACCGCTGTCATGGACAGCCCTAGTCACGTCAGTTGTGTTGCCCCTGCTAAAGAAACATCCACTATACTTCATATTTTCCATAGGTGGACAAAGTTAGAAAAACAGTTTATGAAATAAATCAGGAATTTATCAGAGATAGAGATCCTGAAAAAGAACCAAACAAATCTTGGCAAGGAGAAAACTCAGTAAGTTATCAGAAAATTGTGGTTGAAAGCCTTAACAATAAACTAAATCAAGCAAGAGAAAGAATATCTGAACTTGAAGACAGATCTTTTGAAATAGTCTAGTCAGACAAAAACGTAAAGAAAAGGAACAAATATGCATATTTTGGTGGAGTACTTGAAGGCAAAGAAATGGAGAAACTCATTTAAAAACCTATTCAATGAAATAATAGCTGACAATTTCCACAATCTTGGGAAGGACATGCACATGCAAGTATACGATTCCAAATATACATGAGCAGAAAAGATCTTCACTGTGGCATATTAGAGTCAAACTGTCAAAGGGTCAAGATAAAAAGAATTCTAATGACTGCCAGGAGAAAGGGAAAAGTCACAGTTTGGGCTCAAACACTGGACTAACAACAGATTTACACAAGAAAGTTTTACAGGTCAAAAAAAGATTAGATACACACATTTTGAGCTCTGAAAGAAAAAACAACTATCAACCAAGAATACTGTATTCAACAAATCTTCCCTTTCAAAATAAAAAGGAGTAAAGTTCTCCCAAGGCAAGCAGAAACAGAATCCACCACCATCAGATCTGCCTTATGAAAGATGCATAAGTGAGTCCTAAAAGAAGTGCAAGAAAGATAACTACCATAATAGAAACACATGAAAGTACAAAACTCAACAGAAGAGCAAATAGACAAATGAGAAACAGAAAAAAGAGTCAAATTTTATCAATGCATTAAACCACCAAAGAATAACAAGAGAAGAAAAGAAAAAAAGATTTAAAACAAAAGAAGCAAATTAGTAAAATAACAGGAATAAGTCTTTATCTATCCACAATGACTGACTGTAAATGGACTAAATTCCCTAACTGAAAATAAGGCTTTCCACATGAGAAAAAGCATATAGTACTTCTTTTTTCTGTGTCTAGTTATTTCACTTTACATAATTTCTCCAGTTTCATCCATTTGCTAAATGGCAGGATTTAATCTTCCTTAGAAATAATATCCTTCCACATAGGAAAATGGATACATATTGAAGATATACTCCTAAGTGAAATATATAAGTCACACATGTGTAAATACCGAATAGTTTCTCTGGTGTGAATAATCTGCAATAATACATAAGATCCTAATAAGATTACTGACATTTAGAAATGGGAAGAAAGGAGCTAAAGGTGTAGGGAAGGTGAGATGGGTAGGGGAAGGGTAATAAGGGAAAAGAAAAAAATGTGAGATAATGAAAAGATGGAAATAAAGTGTTTGTAGATGGGGAGGGGAGGAGGGGGTGAAGGGAGGGCAGGGACAAGGGGAAAAAATGAGAACCAAGACTTGTCATGTAGAGGTACAAGATCCCAACAATGAATGTAACTGTACTGTATCCCTAAAATGTACCAATAAACTCAATTAAAACTGAAAAAAAAGAAATAATATCCTTCCAAATAATATCCAATTTTGTCTATATACCACATTTTCTCTGTTCATACTGTTTGTCATGTAGATTGATTCCACATCTTACTATTCTGATTTTTGCTATAATAAACCTGAGTGTGAAGGTATCTCTCTGACACATTGATTTCATTTCCTCTGTATCTATACCCTCTTCCTTTATTCCTCCTCCTTTCCTAAATCTCAGTGAAATAAGAATAAAAAAATCAATAGCATTTTATATACCATAATATGATATAAAACCAAAAACTAGCATTTTATATACCATCATATAGTAGATCTTTTAATTTTTAAAGAAAGCTCCACACTGTTCTTTACAATGTTTGCTCTAATTTCCACTTCCACCAGTGTTGTATGAGAATTCTTTTTAAAAGCAGAGCCACCATGGGCCGGAGATTTAGCTCAGCGGTTCGGTGGCCTGCCTTGCAAGTGCAAGGACCAGAGTTCAATCCCTGGTACCCGCCCTCCCCCAAAAAAGTAGAGCCATCTTAAAAAGTACCAATAAATTCAATGCAAAAATACATAAATAAAAAAAAAAGTAGAGCTACATGTAGAATAATGATTACTAATGGCTGGGAAAAGGGGGAAGGATGGACAAAAGAAAGCTGGATTTGTTAGTGCATCTATGTAATAAAGTATCATACTGACTTCCATTAGCATGTATAGTCAATATATATCAATAAAATAAAGAAAAACATTTATCTAAAAAAAAAGATCGACTGGCTAAATAGCTAAAAAACAAAACACGGTTATATTGCCTACAGGAGGTTTATTTCACTGGTACACACACTGAACAAAGTGAGAAATATATTTCATACTGAAGGAAACAAAAAGCAAGCATAAGTATAAGCTATATTTTTATCAGACAAAGTGGAATTTAAGAAAATATTAACAAAGAAGTTTGCTATAATGGTTGAAAGATCAATTCAACAAGAAGATGTGACAAATAATAGCATATAGGCACTCAACACAGGAGCACTCAATTTTATAAAATAGATACCACTTGATCTAAAGGAAGAGACAGGCTCCACCGCAGCAGTAGTGCTGGACTTCAACATCCAACTTTCAGCAGTGGAGAGATCATTTAGCACAAAACTTAAAGAAAAATGAGAGTTAAACTATACTATAGACCAGGAATTCCCAACTTTTTGGCTCTGGGGATTAATTTGGTGGAAAATAGTTTCTCTTAGACCCCGGTAGACTATACTATAGACCAGAAATTCCCAACTTTTTGGTGCCGGGGATTAATTTGGTGGCAAATAGTTTCTCTTAGACCTGGCAGGGGGGTTAGTTTCAGAGTGACCGAAATACATTACACTTATTGTGCATTCTATTTATTCTATTAGTACATGGTTACAGATAATGAAATAATTATACAACTTACAATAAGATAGAATCAGTGGGAGTCCTGTGCTTGCTTCCCTGTAAGTGGACGGCCCCATTTAAGGGTGATGGGAGACAGTGACAACTGAAGCATGCTGCTTATAGCCAGTCTATGCCATAGTCTCATTTTGGTTGCTGGCTCTGCAGAAAACCCTGCTTTACAAATATATCCAATGATGTGAAAAAACATTTTTCAATGAAAATATATAAATGACCATTGAAAAATGTTTATTCAGATCACTGGGTTATTTAAAATTTCTTTTTGTTGTTGTTGTTATTGAGGAATTATATAGCTTAGATAGAAAGCTCTTATCAGATACAAACTTTCTAAAACTTTTCTCCCATTCTGTTTCCTTCCTTCCTCTCTCTTTTCTTTCCTCTCCCTTCTTCTCCCTCCCTCCCTTCCTGGGGCTGGGGATTGAGCTTCATTTTTGCTGCTGTTGTCTGTGGATTTTGGTGGCATTATCTAAAACATTATTGCCTAAATCTAAATTAAAGTCTATGTTTTTTTATATGATGGTTTTGCTCTTTTTTGAGTTGATTTTTGGTATGAGGTAGGGATACAACTGAATTGTCTTTCACATGGATACAATTATCTTAGAACCATTTGTTGAAAAACTATTCTTTTCCTCGCCATATTATTCTATCACCTTTCTCGGAAAATCAATAAATGTGACATTTATTTCTTGATTCTAAAAAAAAAAAAAGCAATCTTTTCAGGGCTTCTGTGGCAATCTAAGGATAGTCTGCCTTGACTGTGATCCAAAATGCAGGGCGATTTCAAGTTGTCTCAGACACACTTTTAAGGCTACTATCATTTGAAATTTCAAGCAGTTGATCCTCTTTTATCATGGGCAAAATCAATTCTCACAGCTTATTCATAGTCAAGAATCCATCCTTACCTTTTGTGGTTGGGGAAGTCATGCTCAAACTCTTTTGAAAGCTGAGATAGTTGAGTATGCACTAGCTAGAAAAAAGAAGGCCTTGGGTTAATCTCATTCACTTTCTCTGTTAATGTTTGAAACATTAAAAATCTGTGTTTACTTTGTTGTCCCCCAAAATTCCAGTTCAGTTTTAATGCAGCCACTTTATCTGCCAGTTTGAACACAATTGTCATTCTCCTCTGTAGTGACAGAGTTGAATATTTATATGAGCAGGTTGAATATTGATATGAGCAAGTTTTGAGGCCCATGCTGTGTGACCGAAATGTGCTACTAAGTAACTGGTTTTCTAAAAGAAATCTCTGAAGCAGCTTTCATAGCTCAAAAGCTCTGCCCAGTGATTTGCCTTTAGAAAGCAACCTCACATTTGGGTATAACAGACATGTGTGTTCTGTGTCCTTACAGAGCTACATAAACATATGTGAGGTAGAAGTATGCACCTTGATGTGGTCAACAATTTTAATTCCATCTTACAAAATGGTAACTTCTAGTGACATTTTTTGGATTTCCAATATTTCTCTATGGAAGACACAATGGCTATTCAGAAATGGCCTTTTTGACCTAAATAATGAAACCAGAAAGCTGTCCAGTTATGGCAGCAGCTCTATCCATGCATACAATGACCCCAAATGACCAATTCAGTTTTCCCAGTAAATAATCATTAAAAGACTTGAATAGTTCTGCAGCCTTGCTATTGGCAACAAATGCACACATAATATACTCTCAAGCACATCCTCCTGAAAAATACATTGCACAAAACAAGCACTGTTGCATTGTTGCCAGCATCAGTAGACATTCTGTATAGCACAGTGACTCATTAATCCTAACAAATGTGCCTCACTATTCTGTTATTTCTTCAGCTTGTTTAGTTATGGTGCTAGCTCAAAGAGGAACTTTGCCATCTTTTAAACTTCATCTTCTTCTAAAAGTTGAAGAAAACAATGTCCTTAGCAGTACCCAGGGTCAACTCTTCATCAACAGTAAGAGCTTTTATTAATCTAGAGAAATGTAGTTAGCCACTAAGAATGATGCTGTCGGTACAGTCACCTTTGATCAAGTGGTGGCCTTCAATAAGCACTTCTGTTCTTCAAGTTCATATTATTTTTCTTTTGACAAATTCCAAAGGCTTGTCTTTTACTGCGGGGTGCTTGGTTTCCATGTGACCTAGCAGTTTTGAAAGTTTTATGGATTCCTTATATGCTGGTTGTTACATATTATACAAAACAGACTTGGAGGATGTGAATCCCCTCTTGCAATAAACCCACAATTGAAGTAGGTATTAGTATTATCTTTAAACTGCAGTTTTCTTTTTGTCAGTAGTCTGAGAGTCTTCAGCTGTCTCATCACTGGGTCTTACCCGCTTTTGAAAGAAACTCCCCAGCGACTGTTTAAATTCATTTTGGCTAGAGTTAGCTGTGGGTTTACCAAAACCACTGAGGTTAAGTGTACAGTGTGGGAAATAGGTATGGGCTGAAGAGATAAATAAACTAATGGGTGGGCCATGCACAGACGAGGATAAGTGTAAGATTCTGGCTTAAAGCCTGGCACCAGATGCTGCTGTACAGCTGAAGTACTTCAACTCACTTGGCACTATAAAGCCTAACACCAGATGCAGTTTGTCACTTGCCATTCACCAGTAATGCTGTGATATGAGTCTTCAAGCAACTAATTATGATCTCTTTGCAGTCAAATGTCACTGCTCATGTTCATCTTTATTTGAAGCTACTCCCTGGGGCTAGCATAATGTCTTTAGCTCCACCTCCGATCAACAGACATTAGATTTTCATAAGGCATGAGCAAACTAGATCCATGATATGCACAGTTCACAGTGGGGTTTATGCTCCTGTGAGAATCTACTGTTGACACTGCCCTGACAGGAAGTAGGACTTAGGAGGTGATGTGAGCAAGGAGGTGTGGCTATAAATACAGATTAATATGAAGCTTCATTTGCTTGCCTGCTGCTCACCTTCTGCTGTGGGGCTGGTACCAATCCATAGCCCAGAGGTTGGGGACCACTTTTATAGCCTACATAGACCTAATAGACATTGACAGAAAAGTCATCTAACACGTGTAGAGAATAGACTATATATTGGTCCCAAAAAGGAAGCTTCAACAAATTTTTAAAAACTGCAATCCTGTCATGTATCTTTTTTGGTAACAATGAGATAAAACTAGAAATAAAGTGTGGAGATCAGATGGAAAGAAAGAGGCATAACTGGCCTCCTCAGTGAACACTGAGGAGAAAGGGCATGTAAGAGTGAAACATGCTGCAGTGAAAAGTAAAAACAACTGAGGTGAAGTTGTTTACCTGGAGAAGTACTGTGGAGGGTGGGAGACAGGTGGATCCTGTGGGACTCTAATTGCTTGCACTCACATATGAATGACTAAAGCCCAGATGCACGAGTCATTTGGGGGTCTATGTCAAAGGGAGACATGAACCCCCTGGTCCCCAGATTTTAATCTGTTTCTGTGTCTCTTTAATTTTCATCCTCATCACCCCTTGGTCAGGTTCAAGCTTGTAGGCTGGTTCCTAAAGTAAAGAACAAAAGAAACTTTAGAAATGGTAACAAATGCATGGAGAATGAAGAAAACACTATTGCGTAAGCAATGAGTCACTGAAGAGATCAAAAGGGAAATTTAAAAATTTCTCAATCATACTACAGTCATTCACAGGAAAATAAATGCAAATTGAGGTCATATTCTTAAGTGAAATAAACAGGACACACATGTAAATACCAAATAGTTTCTCTGATGTGAAAAAATAAAACTGTAAATAAGATCCAAATTGTATAACTGAGAATATGAAATAGGAAGAAAAAGGCTAAAGGAGTAGGGGAAGTGGGAAGGTAGGGGAAAGGAAATAACAGAAAAGAAAAAATATGAGAAAAGGAAAAAATGGAAACAAAGTCTTTGTAATAGGGGAGGGTAGAGGTATGGAGAAAAATGAGAACCAAGATCTATCATGTAAAGATACAAGATCCTAATAATAAATGTAACTGTACTGTATACCTAAAAAGTACCAATAAACTCAATGAAAAAAATTCTCAATAATGTCTATCCACCCCGTTTTACCATGATACTAAAAATACACTGTGTTCTATTAATTAATAATAAAATATTACATCGTGTTCTATTAGTTTGATGATGCCTCTAAATACTGGCTGTATCTCTTTTCCTGTATATCTTAAAACAATATTACATTAAACAAAATTTCAACCTGAAAAGAAAAAAAAATTCTCAAAACAACTGAAAACAGAAACATAACATATCAAAATTTATGGAAAAAAGCAAAATCAGGACCAAGAGGGAAATTTAGAAAAAGAAAGTACTTTGAAACACAGTAAGATTTCAAAGAAACCATTCAAAATGTCCATACTAGCCAAAGTGATTTACATATTTAATGCAATACCTATCAGAATACCAATAGCATGCTTCATAGAACTAGAAAAAGAAATCCTAAAGTTCATATGGAACAGCAGTTAAAGCAATCTTGAATAAAAAATAGAAACACAAAGCTAAAAACATCACAATACCTAGCTAGTTTCAAGACACCTACAGAGTAATTGTAATCAAAACAGCATGAAAACTGTCATAAAACAGACTAGAAGCAAATTCCCAGAAATAAACCATCTTATCTACAGTCAAGTGATTCTCAATAAAGATGTCAATAACATTAAATAAATGACTGCCTCTCCACTACATGGTTCTGGAAAAACAACATCCATCTGCAGAAGACAGAAACTTGACCTCTATCTCTCACTCTACAAAAATCTACCCAAAATGATCAGACCTAAAAGTAAAACATGGAACTCTACTAGAAGAAAACACTTGAAGACACCAGTATAGACCATAATTTTTAAATCATCCCAAAAGTGCAGGAATCAAAAGCAAAAATAGACAAGTAGAATTATATCAAACTAAGAATCTTCTACACAGGAAAACATCAGCAGAGTGAAGAGACAATTCACAGGATGGGAGAAAATGTCTGCAAAGTATCTGGCAAGGAACTAATAGCCAGAATATATAAGGAACTAAAAAAAAAGTCAACAAAACCAAAAAAATCTAATTAAAAATTATCTGCAAATCTGGAAAATATAATGCTGAGTAAAATAAACCAGACACACAAGTTTAAATACCATGTGGTATCTTTCATTTGAGTTAGGCTAAGCACAAACAAAGAAAATGATAAAGGAAGGATAGAAAGGGACAAGGGTATGGATCTCCTGCAATAGGGAAGTGGTCCAAGGGAAAAAGGACGAGGGGTGAGGAGGAGGGAAAGAGGAAATTAGAGAACTAAAGATGTGCCATGTACAGGATCCTAATAACCTCAATTAATGCGAACACCATATGCCATAACATGAACTAAGACAGATAATGTCAGCAAGTACACAAAAAGGAATAAAGGAACCTCAGCAGGAGCGGGAAGGACGAGGAAAAGTGAAAGGGATTTTAAAAAAACAAGTTGTAATAGGTACATGTAACCATTCCCCAAGATGATTATAAACTGTATGAACTGCAAACATGTACTAATAAATAATTATCTGCAAATGATCTTCATGGACATTTCTCAAGAGAAAAAAATATAAATGGCCAACAAATGAACAGTATCATTAGCTATTAGGGATATGCTTATAAAAACTACAATAAGATAACATCTTAACTCCAGTAAGAATGGCTACTATCAAAAGACAAAATAATGACAAATGCTGGGAAGGATTTTAGAAAAAGGGACTCTCATACATTGCTGATAGGAATGTAAATTTGTATAGGCATTATGTAGAACAGTATGGAGGTTCCTCAGAAAAACTAAACATACATGTACCGTAGGATCCAGCTATCATACCTGGGAATATATCCACATTTATGGCAGCATCATCACAACAGCCAAATTATGAAATCATCCTACATGCCCATCAGTCAATGAATGAATGGGCAAGGAAAATGCGTCATATACACCAAAAGGAATTTTATTTAGCTATAAAGAAGAAAGAAATCCTTTCATTTGTAGAACAACAGATGGAACTGGAGGACACTATGCTAAGCAAATAAGCTAGCCAACGAAAAACAAGTACTACATGTTCTGTCTTATATATGGGAGCTTGATCTGAATGTATGACTGATTAGAATAGTGATGGTTACAGGCTGGGAAGTGGAGTGGAGGGTAAAGGATGGCTAGGTAACTGGTACCAAAACACAGTTGGGTAAATGGAACAAGTTACGGTGTTTTGTAACACGGGGATAACTTCAGTTCACAACAATCTACTAAAGTATTTCACGAAGATACAAACAAGAGGAAATCAAAGATCAAACATAAATGATATGGAGAGGGACATGCTAATTACCCTGATTTGATCTGTGTATCATCTATGTACATGTGGACATGCTGCACTGTACAACATTAATATATATAATTACGTTAATAAAAAATTTAAACGCTCCTTCTTTTTCTTTGCCTCTCCCTCTCCCTCGCCTGTCCCTGTGTCATCCTTATCTTGCCCCCTGAAAAATCCTAAAACAGTGACTATCGTGTCTGATAAGGGCCTATAGAATAAGCATCCAACATATCCAACATTAGACTCTCGATGGTGCCAGTAAGCTCCTCCCATCTTTCCAGTCAGCCAAGATTAGCATTTGGCCTTTCTCCTGGTGCTTTCTACAGTATGGCTCAAAAATGGCTGCTTCATTTGCCTTTTTCAGTGTCTGTTTCAGTCAGGAAAGGAAGGGGAAACAAGCAGCCCTAGTGTTTGAATTAGGAAAGCAAAACCTTTGCCAGGCAACTCCATAGTTGTATTTAGGTTGTATGGGCCAGAAAAACTTGTCTTATGAATACTGTGATTTGAAGAGTACTGTGAAATCAAGAGTAGCACTTTACAAGCTGCAAGAGACCAAGCTTTTGTTTCTTCAGTGACTTTCCAAGACATTGATTTTTATGAATTAATCTTCATTATTTCAAACAATTCCCATTAGAACAGGACTCCCAAAGAATGGGAGTTGGGAATCTAGTTGACATGGAGAGGAATCCCAGCTACAGCACTTGTCAGTTGTATGCATGGATACATTTATCATTTCTCTTTAAAATATCTTTTGTGTTCATTTGCTTGTCTTGTCTTTGAAGAAGAAATCTCTTTTATTCGTACCTATAAAACCTATGAAGGCTGCATTTGCCTGTTACTGCTAACAGTGAGGGAAGCCCATGTCTGGCACATGTATGTGCTGGATAAATCACATTAGAAAAGTAGGTAAACACTCTCATTTTGTTTTCTTCCTTTCTAAAATATCAAAGTGGCCACTTCATTGAACAGTTGTGAGGAATCTATAAAACAAAGGCAAAGTGAAAAATTAAAACATCCCTAGTAATTTACAGTTTTCAGTGAGCAATTATTTTGGAAGAGAACCTTGAAAATGGAGTATTTTGGTAAAAACTATTAACCCCAAAATACCTTTAAATCTTATTATTGAGAAACTTTGCCCAAACTGCTTATTCCAGTGAAAATCCCTTTAAAGAATAATGCCTCTAACCAAACCACAGCTTTGCTTTGGTTATTTATTTGTTTGTTTTAGGATTACACAATGCCTCATATTTGACTAATGCTGACTAAGTCCTGTTGAAATATCACCAATGTAGAAATTAGAAGTATTTTATTCAATAGCTCTATTTCCTTTTTTTTCAATAGCTCTATTTCCAACTGAATTAATCTGGAAATATGAACACAATCAAATAAATTACTGAAAAAAATATGAACCTATTTGCACTGTCCATTGAGAAGATTTGATCAAGAGGCATGCATATTACATCAAACTGTTGATTTTTTAAAGTTAAATTAGAAAATGTTAAAAATCACCTCTTATCAAATGCAGCAAACATAGAATACAGGGAAACAAAAAACATATAATTTTTATGCTGTAAGGCTACCAAAATATTTTTTCTGAAACTATGGAGTTCTGGTAGTTTCCCCCCCGCTTTCTTTTGCAATATCTGTACATGTAGAATATGATCTCAAATTAAAATATTTAACTGGTTACAATCAAACTATCTCACAGAGGAGTAGAAGGAAAGTCCAATGGAGAAAGTGTGTTGTGCCTTTAAGATATTACTGTATAGTTTACAGTGTTTTTGCTAGAAACTTTAATGTTTTTACTAGGATTCAGATTAAAAGTCATCAGTTTTTCCCCTCTTGCCAACAATTTATCCATTCACCAATTTTACTTCCTAAGGATTGATATATCAGGCACTATATTATTTAACTATTATCTGATTTAGATTTGAAGCTTATGTGGCTAATATAGATGCTTGAAAACTCTGGGTTGTAAGAAGATAAGTGATCTTAACTTTATTTTTGTTGATTTTAAGTGTAATGGCTATAATTCACTCTATAATAAAGAAAAGGCTGCAAATACAGAAAACCTTTAGTCTGCAAAGTGGTTTGAGTATAAAAGGAAAAACACCAGTAAGATGGCCAAGGAGAGAAAGATGGGGAAAGAAGGAAAGATGAGAAGGGTGATGAACAAAAGCTGAAGAAAATTCCATGCAGATACATGGGAAAGGGTGGAGCTAGCACCACTGACTTCAGAGCTGATAGCCCAAAGGATATAAAAGCCTGGTTGAGCCAGATAGGGAAAGCAGCCTGAACCCTAGGGGAGACACCCAGGTTCAGCTTAGCAGGGGACAGCTGAAGCCATCTCCAAAGGCTATACTACCCAGACAGCAGATACCAGGTCCAAGATGTTGCGCCTCTTCTCTTTCCACCTCCTAGAATTCTGGCTGCTGCTGAGCCCCGCTTCTGGAGTGGTACCTCCTGGATGGCTGGACGAAGTCATCAAGCTATGTGGCCGTGAATTAGCCCGAGCCCAAATACACATTTGCGGCAAGGTCTCCTTGAGAGCCATGGCTATGGGCCAAGAGGAAGAGCGTCTTCTGGGATCTGGATCACCCACAGGTGAGAACTCGTGCCAACCACCACCACCCAGACCCCGTTCTTCTCTTCTCACTGGTGTCAGTCTGCCAAACAATCAGAACAGGGACATCCCCCTGGAAGCACAGGGTATTCTTCCCACCATGCAGCCAGGGAAGTGATGTCTGAATAAGGTAGAAGCCACAGAAGAAGGGATGCTGCCAAAATCTCCACAGAAAACAGGAGCATTCCTGGACTGCTGAGGAAAAGCTGAGCAGGCCAAAAAGCTGGGGGGGTGGCAACTGGGCACCTGGATGGAGTTGTGCGGAAAGGAGGCAGAAAGTGAGGTAGTGAGCGGGTTACCAAGCATCTTTGTGTGCTGAAGGGCATGCGGCAGCACTGAGACTTCTATGGGGTCCTGATACGGCAGACAGGAAGGTCTTTGATTTAATGACTCCTCTGCTCCACATGACCTATTCCACAGATAATCTCTACTCAGCCCTGCACACACCCTTTTCAAACGCACCTCCCACTTGGGTGAATTGAGTCTTTCCATTCATCTGAAGGGGCCAGGTGGGGTGGGTGGGGAACCGGAAAAGAAACAAAAGTGACAGGAGAACTGAAGGGAAAATTGAGGGGGATCAGAGAGAAGGGAACCTTGTCATTCAGACCATCACAGCTGAAGATGTTTCAAGTTTTGGAAACTTCATCAATGTTTTGAAGTTTTGGAAACTGCCAAAAGATCTATTTTAAAAACCAAGATCTCAGAATTGAGCACAGCTCAAATCGGGAATGGCTTTAAAAACATTTTTGTTAGTTACAAAGCATTCATAAAGATAATTTGGAAGGTTAGTTACAAAAGCAGTGAAAACCCAAAAAGATATAGGCTAGTGTGATCAGTTTATGGTTATGTTAAATTCAGAGAAGGCAAGGTCAGTCACCAATAAGTCATTCATATCATATATATAATTAATGATAAGCCACAAGGAAACTTTATAGGTTATGTAATATATATATATGTGTATATATACACACACACACACACACACACATATATACATATATATAGTCATGCAAAATTATTGTGCACAACACATACATTTACTTCTCTTTCATAGGATTTAAAGTATGATTTTAAAGTTACTTTACTTTCTACAGTAATATATTGATTTATTTAATGCCACTTTTTACATAATTCTTACATCAGTTTAACAGAATACCACAATCTAGGAATTCACTAAAAGACTAGATAAGACTAGATTGTATTGCATTTGCTACCTATACAAAAGGAAAATATACACAAAAGACAGTAAGAAAAATGGAATGCACCAGTGTATATTAAACACTTTAAAAAGTGTATGTGAATATGAGAAAATTAAAATATATTGAATAAGAAAATAAATGTTAACATTTCAATTATGTATATCTTTTGCATTTTCACTTCTCATTATTTTGTGAGCATTTTTCATCATTTTATTCTCTAAAACTGAATTTAAAGTTTCTATATAGTATTCTATGCCATAAATCTACCGTATATATTCATGTGCCACATAACAGCATTTAGTCAATGAAAGATTGCATCTATAATGGTGGTCTCATAAGATTATACTGACATTTCCTATCACCTAGTGATATAAGTGTAGTAGAGTCAAAGTAAAATACCATATTCTCATGTTTGTGGTAATGCTGATGTATACAAACCTACCTCACTGTCAGTTATATAAAAGTATAGCAGTACAATTATATGCAGCACATATTTGATAGTGATGATAAATAAATGTTACTGGTTTATATACTTACTATACTTTTATTATTTTAGGATGTACTTTTTTTAAAAAAGTATACTGTAAAATAGGATGCTGTGTTATGCTGTCAGTAGCCTCCTGCATCTCTTGTTTATCACATCCACTGAAGGCTTCAAAAGACCCGTCAAATACTTGAACTCTACCTTCTAGAACTATGTAAACATACTCTATGATGTTTGCACAGTGATAAAGTAACAGCACATTTCTCAGAACGTTTGCCCTACTTTACATGACACATGACTGTATATTGAAACACTGTTAGACATTTAGATTATTTCCAAATTGTTGTTGAAAATAGTTTGCTGAGCACATCCATATACAGATATTTGGCCAAATTTTTATTTCCTTAGAAGAGACCTATGCTTTAAAAATATTTGAAAAGAATTTTCTATATTGCTACCTAGTACATAACTTAATTTGAAATAGCCCAACAAAATACTCCCTTCATGTATAATTTACTAGAAGTACATGTCAGTAATTTGTGATTCATGAGTTTTCATACCTCTATTGTTATATAATATTAAATTTGCTTTTACATTATTAAACGATTAGCTAACCATTTTACCCATAAAGTGTGGCAAAGTAGTTGTCACTCTAAGATATACTTTTAACTAGAAGAGGCCTGTATTTGGGGATTTGAGTCCAAAGTATCATGACTAAGAGATATGTGTTTGTATGAATTCAGTTAGATTTGAATATTATGTTTGAGTCTGGAATCCATAAATTAGAAGTGTTGTGGATTACAGAAAGTTTCAAACCAAGTTTAAAAATAACAGACTGCAAAACACAGAGCCCATAAATAAACATATTTCAAAGTAAATCTGTTCTGTTTAATTCATTTACTAGCTTTCAATGTATAGAAAGTTAACATCAGCTTTTCTCAGCATACAATAAATTCCCAAATAAAGAAAGATGAAGGGCAAGGAAAAGATTGCAATAACCAGGGTAAGTCAAACTTAGTCTTACTGAAATAAAATGCCAAAACTTTTGACATAACTAGAAAAGGCATAAAATCTCACCTGTCATTGCCAGTTTAGAACTTGAATGAGAGGGAGTACTAGGAGAAAAGACAAGTGATAGCATGTTATTACTCTGCTGAATTGCAACAACTGAAGTTTATAGTGGCCGAAGAACAACTAAATTCTTGCTGCAGGACTTCTTAGGAAACAGAAGAGCCCTAGGACCACCCCGCTTACGAGAAGGAACAGTTTTATCTCATTTGTGGCTATCCAAGCATTGCTGTCTTCACTTAGACTTGTCTTTTTTGGCATGTATGCAATATTTCAAGAGTAATAATGTCTTATTAATAAGTTGAAGGACAATTTTGCTGCCCATGAAGAGGAAAAGCAAGAATTGATACAGGTTTACCCTATAATTAAAATTTCATGTATGTTTCTAATTTCCTTGTTTGATGACTCTCAATTGGGATAGGAAAGGCCAGGAGACAGTTTATGTGACTGACAAGTTTTTTGAGGGCAGGAAACTTTTTCTTGTATTTCAATCTCCTACTTGGCAGTATCAGACACCCGGACACAGCCAGCCAATGTTCAACTAAACTGAATGAGTATAAAGAAGAAGAAAGATGTCAGTTGGTTCCAGGAGGTTCCAAACCCAGTTTCCAATCTCGGTATTTACTGGCATAGTATATGGTCCATACTCCTGGAACACATACCATACACAAGTACACTAGTTAGTATACACACAGCACAGAAGATTCTAATTTCTTCTGGAAGTCCATGATTTTTGGTTAGCATTCCTTTAACTCTTTAATATAAAATACTAGTGTCTTGGAATAAATACTCTGGGAAAAAGAAATTTCTAGATGTTTGAGTGATGTCTGAGACTTGTAGCCCCTGCTGATTTACCAGAGCTGTTGGAAATTTGGCCTTTTCAATTTTATTCTGCAGCCAAGTAACTTGCCACGATGGAACATTTGATAGCTTAAACTATTTGAAATGCTTTGCAATGTTTATTGTTATAACTCAGAAATTATTTATCCATGAATAAAATGACTCAGATAAAAAGAAATCAACCCAGCCATCCCTCTGCTGGGTATCTTTCCAAAAGAATTAAAAGAATCATATCACAGAGATATATGAGCACGTATGTTTACAGCAGCACAATTTGTAATAGCTAAAACTTGGAAACAGACCATTTGCCCATCCGTTGGAAACTGGATAAAGAAGATGTGGTTTTTCTATAAAATGGAATATTACTCAGCCATAAAGAATGAGAACTTAGATTCATTTGTAGGAAAATGGCTACATATTGAGGATATACTCCTTAGTGAAATAAATAAGTCACACATGTGTAAATACTGAGTAGTTTCTCTGGTGTGAATAAACTATAATAGTACATAAGATCCTAATGATATAATGGACGATGTGAAATAGGAAGAAAGGGGCTAAAGGTGTAGGGAAAGTGGGAAGGGTAGGGGAAGGGTAATAAGGGAAAAGAAAAAAATATGACAAAATGAAAAAATGGAAATGAAGTTTTTGTAAAGGGGGAGTGGAGGAGGGATGAAGGGAGGGCAGGGACAAGGGGAAAAAATGAGAACCAAGACCTGTCATGTAAAGGTACAAGATCCCAATAATGAATGTATACCTACCAATAAACTAAATGAGGAAAAAACCCAAGCACACATTTGGTAAGGGTTTAATATTGCTAAATATAAGAAAATCAACTCACTAGCAATGAAACATGACTCAGAAAGAGAAAAGTACTTGAATAAACATTTTTGAAAAAGCAGTATGTCAAAATGTTCAACTTCATTCAGCATTAGAGAAATGCAAACTAAAATTTGAATTGGATATGACCTCATGTCTGTAAGCATTACTGATATCAAATCAAATAAAATGTATTGAATGGTCTTGAAGATGTAGAGAAAAAGGAAGATGTGTACAATATCGATGAGAATGTTAAGTTTACAAAGGCATTGTGGGAAACAATATTGGTTGTTCAAAAAATTAAAAAAAGAAATAACACATGACAGAACAAACCCACTTCTTGGTATATATCTAGTGGAAATTAAATCAGTATTTTGAGGAAATTTCTGTTCTCCCATGTTTATTACAATATTACACATAACAATCACAATATGGCTAGTAGTCTAACTACCTATCATGGGATGAATAGATAAGTAAAAGGTGTTATATACACATAATGAACACGCTTTAGTCATAAAAACAAAATCTTATTTGTGACAATATAGATGAACCTGAAGTACACCATCACAGAAAGACAAATGTCATGTATACTCACTCATATCAAGAATCTGAAAATGTTTATCTCATACAGACTAGAATAGTGTTTACTGGGGACTGAGTTACTTGAGGTTCAAGTAGGGAGGTTAAAGAGGTATTGGTCAAAAGGTACAAAATTTCAGTTTTACTGGAATAAGATAAAGAGAGCTGTTGCACAACACGATGACTATAATATAGTTCTCTATTCTTGAAAAAAAATACTAAAACAGTGAAAATAAATTTCTCCCAACAAAAATTATAATCATAAGTGGAGATGCATAGGTTAATTAGTTATATTTAATCATTTTACACTCCATATGTTTTATAACTTCATGGCACACATAATGAATACATGTATCAATGTAAAATGAGTGTTTTCAATGACCAAAATGACATCAGAAAGATAAGAGATCAATGTCAAGGAATGAAGGTTATGATGACAAAAAGCAATGAAGGGACAATAAATACGACAGATGACTAAACAGAGTAAAACAGAACCCTGAAATGATTATAATACTTTAAGGTGACCAATTATAAGTAAGGTAAGTTATTTTGATATTAGTATGCTTGCTGATTCCATGTCAACATTTAATTTTACTGAGCTAATGCTTTCCTTTTTGACTATGCAAACATTTGTAATTTTCCTGATGCTTCTTGACATAAATATTTTCTTCCTCTCTCCATTTTTAACTTAACAGAAACCATGATATCCTCTATCAACAAAGATTTAGACTACCAAAATATGTTGCAAGTCATTCCTAATTTGCCACAAGAGTTGAAGGCAGCACTGTCTGAGAGGCAGCCATCATTACTACAGCTAAAACAATATGTACCTGCATTAAGGGATTCAAACGTTGGATTTCAAGACCTTAAGAAAATTATTCATAATACACACGATGAAGCAGAAGACAACAGTCATCCAGTATTAAAATACTTAGACTTGAATACTCATTCACCAAAAAAGAGACAACTTGATATGTCAGTGAGTGAGAAATGTTGCCAAGTTGGTTGTACCAGAAGATCTATTGCAAAATTGTGCTGAGATGAAGTTAATGGTGTATATCTCATCAAATGTTCACATATATTCTTGGTGATATTTCTCTGATGCTTCTTTCTGGCTCCCTTGATAACAGGAATATGAGAAATCAATATTAATATTTAAATTTTTCATTTCATATAAAATATTCTTTGTATTATTGTAATTTCTGTTTAATAATACTTTTATGCAAAAGTATTTTGGTGTTTCTATTAATCTTATTAAATTATTGCTTTTTAGTTGTTAATTTAAAAATTACTATAAAATTTTTTATCACCTTCACCACACAAAATAACAGACTTTAATACAATGCCTAACACTAGTTGTCTAACACCTTGTATAATGCCTGAAAGGATGCAGTCTAAAAATGAAGCTTTCAAAGCTCAGAGACCAGAAAGGGACACTGCCAGAGGCAGAAGGCTAATCTTCAGGCCATGCCCTGGACAATGTGCCACATTCCCCACCAAACAAATTCCATGCAGGCAGGCTCCTGAAACCAGAGTCTACATTTATTGCTTCTGATGATAGGACCACTTTTAAAGTGGTAAAAGAGAATGTGTTGTTAGTCATCCACTATAAACACTCAAATAGTAACATAGCATCTTTAGATAACTAATGCTGCACTAGCAAAATCTACCTAAATACCATGAGAAACTGATCACTGTAGCTCAGTGCAATTCTCATGTTTTAAAAAATTGTTTATACATATGTATCAGTCAGAATTGTGCTTTCTTTAGATAACAAACAATTCAAAAACTGGCTTAAAAATGCTTATGGAATAAGTGTCTACCAATGGTTAGCCTTTGAATGACGCCAAAAGGTTCCTGCCACCTTTCCAATAAGCCATGAACAGCAGATAGGCCTCTCTCCTGATGCTCCTCAGCTCATGGTGTCAAGATGGCTGTTTCACCTCCCTTTCTCGGTATCTGTTTCAGGCAGGAGAGGAACAATAAAGCTTAGTAGTTGGATTAGAAAACAAAGATTTGTCAGAAACCTCTACATTTCTGCTTATGTTATATTGACCAGAACTGTGTCACATATGATACTGTTCCCTCCAAGATTTGTCAAGATTTGTGACATGCAGCCTCCAGGGTTGAAGTGGTCCAGGAGAAGGATCTAACAAAGGTGATTAGGACTTAACCTGTAGATACACTCGTATTCTCTTTCCTGTATCTTTAATGACACTTTGAAAGACATTAATGTTTATCTACTATTCTTCACCATCAGATTAATTCCAATTGGTACTGAATCCAAGAGGTACTACGGGGAAGTAAAAGAACTCTAGAATCCAGTAGGAGTAACTGTTCCAGGACTTACTAGCCATACACATGAACAAACTTCTTTTCCCTTTAAATATGTACCTTTGCTTCTTTTGTTTGGGTGGAAATTGCTAATTTTTAATAATTTTTATTAAAATGTAGTTTCAGGTTCATGGAAAAATATAGTGGAAGGTACAGAAACTTCCTTTATATCCCATCACCTCACCACAGAAAGTTTCCTCTACTCCTTACATCTTGTGTTATTGTGGTAGATTTGCATAAGCTTATGAACTAATACTGATACATTATGAACATAAATCTACAGTTTATGTTAGGTTTACTCTTTCTGATGTTTGTTCTATGATGGTTTGACTTCCTGCCTTCAATTTATTTGGATAAATATTAGAAACAAAATTGTTTTATCAGATGGCCACAGTATTTTTTAAATATTTCAAGAAATCACTACAGTATCTTCCACAAAGCCCACATCATTTTATATTCTCACCAAAAATGACAAAGATTTTGATTTTTTTCACATTTTTGATGAAGTTTGATATTTTTATTTTAGGATAATAACCATCCTAGTAGATGTGAAGTAGTATCTTATTGTGCTTTGTTTGCTCTTTTATTAATATTATTTTAATTGACAATCACAGTTGTATGTTTATGGGGCACAATAGACGTTCTGATATATGCACGCAATGTAGAATTACTCTATCAAATTAATGTGTCCATCACCTTGATTACCTGACATTTTTAATAGTGAAACAAGTATACTCTTGGTTATTTTGAAAACATATGTTATTGTTGTTTAGTCACCCTGCTGTGCCACAGACCTCAGTGTTTTTTTCTCTCATATTATACCCTTTGACAACTTCCCACTTTTATCTCTCCTAAACCCCATCCCTAGGCCTTTGGTAACTGTCATACTATTTCTAGTTCTATGAGTTCAACTCTTTTAGGTTCCATGCATAAGTTGGGTCATAGAGTATTTGTCTTTCTGTGCCTGTGCCTCTGAAACTTAAAGCAAACTCTTAGTTGCAAACCTCTGTAAAAATTTTAAAAAAGGTTAAATACTTTCAACATACAATGGCACAGGGTAAACATTCTCACTCAAAAAAGGAATAGAAAAGAGTTGGACTAAAGCAAGAACAAAACCCAGTAGGGCAGACATTAAGTACTATATCTAGTTCCATGTCTAGCGCCCAGGATATTAGTAGTGAAATGTAAACTCCAAAGGGTTTGGGCAGCCCCACCCCTGTGAAGTGCCAGCTACAGCCCACATGGTGCCCTCTTGGGCTATCTCTGCTCACTGCTTATGAAGCTTTGCTTAGCATGCATTCTACTTTCTTGGCATCTGCAACTTCTTGCAGTCTCCACTGTAGCTTGGGCTTCACTCCAACAGATCCAAGCACTGCCTTCACAGAGGCTCTTAGTAGGGATGACAATCCTATCACTCCACATTTCCTGATCCACCAGCCTTCTTTTAATATCTGGGTGGAAGACTCCATGACCCCATAACTCTTGTATTATGCATGCATATAAAGTAGCACTGTGTGGATGATACCAAGACTTGCTGCCAGCTTGAATAGTAGCTGGACTCCCTATGACTATGCCTGCAGTAACCTCTGAGTGTCTGGATGGCTGAACTTAGAATACACCTTCCTAGATGACCTCAAGGTTGTACAGCACCATAAGGTTCTCTTCTCAAAAATCTTTCAAAGGCATTTACCTTTTTACACCTTTAACTTTATGAGAGGTTGGGTCTGACCACTTCCTGCGATGCTCTCAAGCCTTCCTTCCTATGGGCCTGCTGGTAAGAACTTGGCTCCTTTTTAACAGTACTAATCTTTTCAGCAGCTACATTGTAATTGACCACGAGTTTACAAGGCTTCCTTTCTAGCCAAACTTCAAGTTTTTCACATATTTTGGCTCTGCTTTTTATTTTTGATTCTCACTGTAAATCTAGCAAAAAGCATTCAGAAGTATCCATGCCACAACTTGAACAATGGGCTGCTTTAAATTTTCCTTCATCAGATTAATTAGTCTATCACATTTAAATTCAGCCTCCTGAAAAGTATCAGGACACAGGCAAATGTAGACAAGGTGTTTACCAGAATCAACACATTGGATCGCTAGTCCATTTTCTATCAGAGTATTCATTTTTATCTGAAATCTCATAAGTCTGACCTTTATTCTCTGTATTCCTATCAGCATTCTGGTCATCCAAGCTCCCAACAGAATTGTCTATCACATTTTGCTTATAGTACTCTAGGCTTTTTCCAACCCAATTCTTTTCTTTTTTTGTACCTGGGATTGAACTCTGGTCCTTGTGCTTGTGAGGCAGGAAGCAGAACCATTGAGCTAAACCCCTGGCCTGAACCCAATTCTTTTAAAGCTCCTCCTAAAAGCCAGTTCTAAAGGTTTCTGAACCATGTTAGATATAGTAACAGCTTCCCCACCTCCTCCAGTGCCCATTTTCTTTCTTAATCAGCCTTCCCAGCACTAGGACAAAAATACCTGACACTTAAGGAACAGAAGTTTATTTCCACTGGCCATTTCACAGGGTTCAGTCGAAGGTTGACTGGTTCCAAGGAAGAAATGGCATGGTGAAAGGGCGTGGCTGCTCAACTCATGGGGAGCACTGAAGCAGAGAGGAGGAAAAGCTAGACTTTAATAAATACATATTCAAATCCATGCCATTGTGCCCTACTTACTCTAACCAGCACCCACATCCCACAGCACATTCAACAATAAACTCATTAGTAGATTAACCCACTGATGAATATAGCAACCCTATGACCCAGTAAGCTTCTGAAAGCCCCACCTTGAATACAGGAGACTTGGGGGGACATTTTAGATCTAAACTATAACATAAGATTTCTGATTAATTCTTTTTTATAATTTCTATCACTTTGATGATTTTCTCATTCATATCATGCATTGTTTCCCTTATTTCCTTATATTAGTTATCCACTGTTTTATGTTTTGCTGAGTTTTCTTAGGTATATTATTTTAAATTCTTTTTCAGTCATTTCAGTGATTTCCTTCAGTTTGAGGTCTATTTCTGGAGAGTTACTGTTCTCCTTTGAAGGTGTTGTGTTTCTTTTTATATTTCTTGTCTCCTTTCATTGATAGTTATATATCTGGTGTGATGTTCATTTCTAACAATTATACAAAGCAGATTTTGTAGAAAAAGATTTTTGTTTAGATGAAATGGGAGTTGTCATTTGGATAAGTGCTTTGGGCTTGGCTATAGGGTAGTTCAATAGCAAAGTCTCTGTGATTTCTTCATTTTTACTGGTGCCAGCAGTGAGTGCCTCCTCTGTAGTCTAGACTGCAGCAATTCATGAAGACAGTTGCACAGTTTTCCAGTGGTATAGAATTCTAAGGATGTATTGTCTTCAGGTAACAATCTTAATTACACTGGGGATTGTTATAGTCACTGCCAGTCTCAATGGTGCATGATACGGAGAGGGTGATTTTCAAGCCTCTCAGGGTAAACATAGGTTTTAAGGGCCATAACACAAGTAGCCACAGTTCCTCAGTCACAGGATATGAAGACCTTTATGGGTGTCAGGAGGAATGTGGGACATACCTGGCTACATTGCCCCAGCAGACACAGTTCCAGAACCACAGGTCGGGATAGGGGCTATTTCAAGTATGGCTGGGTGACCACAGGTGGTACCACTATCTATGACACCAAAAAACATAGACTCAAGTCTTTGGAATCTTGAGGGGATCTTC